TGTATTCTTTTCCCCCTTTCCATTAGGTTCCTCCCCAATCCCTCTGCTCCTTAGTAAATGCAGCTATGTTGTCAGAGTCCATGGGATTCTTTTTATTGGACACTAACCATTACTTTGTTTTTCTATATATCACATATAAGCGAGATAAAGTATTTGTCTTCTCCTTATAACTTACATGATGAACTTCAGTTCTACCCACATTAAAGCAAAATAAAAGATTTTTTCTTATCACTGATTAAATTTCCATTGCATTTATATATTACAATTTCTTGATCTTTTCACAAACACACGGATTATTTCCAGAACTAGCTTACTACAAATAACTCTGCAAAACATAGGTTTACATGTATTTTTTAAAATTAGTCCGTTTTTGCATGTTATTGATATTGATTCTTTTTATGACATCTTATTATCTCATTCCTACTTTGGACAAACTGGCAGGCTACCGAATGTAGCCTACCCACACGGCAGAATCTGGCAAACTCCCCGTGGTGCACCCAATATGCCAAATACCAGTAACAATGATGCGTCTCATACTCCTAAAGAGCCTTGAATATGGCACTTTCTTAAAAATCTCAGGGCTAGGATCAAGGAGACGTTACTGGGGCCTGCTCGAGGCAATCAATGAATAACAAGATGGTAGTGATTCGTGATTCGTGATTGATATTGATTCAAGAAGTGAAATTACTAAATTATATAATAGATCTATTTTTAATTTGGGAAAGAAATCTCCATACTGTATTTCAGAAGATGAATAAGTTTACATTTCCAAATTAGTAAATAAGGGTTCTTTTCTCTACATAACCCTGCTTTCAATATTATGTATATATGTGTGTGTAATATATATATATGTGTAATACATATGTGTGTGCCATATGTATGTGCAAAATATGTATGTGCATATATATGTACATACACATATATTTGCATACACATATATATAATATATATTACACATAGGATATTGTCACTGATGTGAAGTGATATTTTATTGCCATTTTGATTTGCACTTCCTGATAATTAGTGATGATGAACAGTTTTTTTGGGTATTTTTGCTCCATCCTAATATCTTTTTAGTAGATGTGTCGATTCACCAACTGTCCCCACTTTTTCATAGGCTGCTTTCTTTTTTTGTTGAGTTTGTGAGTGCTGTATGTCTATTAAGTAATAACCTTTTGTCAGATATATGGTGTGCAAGTATTTCCTCCTATTGAGTAGAACAATCTCTACTTCAAAATTTTTCTTATCATAATAATGGCTGGAGCAATAGCACAGCGGGTAGGGCATTCGCCTTGCATGTGGCCGACTCAGGTTCGATTCCGCCATTCCTCTCAGAGAGCCCAGCAAGCTACCGCGAGTATCCTGCCTGCACATCAGAGCCTGGCAAGCTCCCCATGGTGTATTCGATATGCCAAAAATAGTGACAAGTCTCACAATGGAGCCATTACTGGTGCCTGCACGAGCAAATCGATGAACAATGGGAGGGCAGTGCTACAGTGCAGTGCTACAGACACTTTTAGTTGGATGCAGTCCCTCTTCTTTATTTTTTTAATTGTTTTTAATTGTTGAACATTTAAATTTTTTTATAATTGTACCTCTTTTTTAAATTTTATTTTAATTTTTACTCTTATTTTTGAGTCACAATGGGATACAGAGCTGATCATGGCTGGGTTTCAGTCACACAGTGTTTCAACACCCATCCTTCCACCAGTGTATTTTTCCCATCACCAGTGTCCCCAGTTTCCAACCACCCTCCCCCCACCTTGTCTTCATGGCAGGCACTTTCTTTCTTTCTCTCTCCGTATCTGTTTCTGTCTCTCTCTGTCTCTTTCTCTCTCCTTTGAGGCATTATGGTTTGCAATACAGGTAGGTTATCTTGTTTGTTCCTTTTCCTATTTTAAGCTTGCAGTTCTTATCCAGAGTGATCATTTTCAACTATCTCTGTCATGGTGATCCCTTCTCTATTCCAACTGCTTTCATCCCCAGCATTTGAAGTAGGCTTCCAACTGTGAACCAATACTCCTGGCCCTTGTTTCTGACATCCTTGAGTTGGTCTCATATTATGTTTTATATAGACAAATAACACACACACATATACATATTACACAATGAGTCCAATCATTCTATGTCTATCCTTCTCCTTCTCACTCATTTCACTCACCATGACATTCTCCATGTCCATCCATTAATAAGCAAATTTCATAACTTCATTTTTCCAAACAGTTGTATAGTATTCTATTGTGTAGATGTACCATAGTTTCATTAGCCAATCATCTGTTCTTGGGCACTCTTTATTCTTTTTTTTTTGCTGTTGCTTTCCTTGCCTGTGGAGTCAAATAAAACAAACAAAACAAACACGATCCTCCAGTTGTTCATCAATTTGCTCAAGCGGGCCCAGTAACATCTCCATTTTGAGACTTGTTACTGTGTTTGCCATATTGAATATGTCATGGGTAGCTTGCCAGGCTTTCCTGTGTGGGTAAGATACTCTCCGTGGTAGCTTGCCGAGCTCTCTAAGAGGGGCAGAGGAATTGAACCCGGCTCGGCTGGGCTGACTGCGTGCAAGGCAAACACCCTACTGCTGTGCCATCAGTCCAGCTTATGGAGTCAAATAAGTGAAGGCTTCTCTAAGGTCAGTATCAGAGCGTTTTACCCATTTTTTTTTCTGTAATGTATTTTATGGGTTCAGATGTAACAAAAAGGTCTTTAATCTATTTCGAATTTTTTGTATGTGTCATGAGGTGGTGGTCAAATTTCATTTTTTGAATACATTTAACACATATTTATTTCCATGTATTTGAGAGATTACTTTTAGTCTTCCAATTCTATTTTATTGATCTGGGTCTCTGCTTTTATTCTAATAGCACAATGTTCTGATTATTATAACTTTATGGTAGAGCTTAAAGTAGGGAATATAGTGCCTTCCATCTTCTTAGGATTGCTCTGGCTATTAGTGGTTATGTGGTTCTATATAAATGTTAATTTTGTTTTGTGATCTTAAAGAATGCCATTCTAATTTTTATAGGGTTTTCATTGACTTTGTGTATTTCTTGGATAGCACAGTGATTTTATTATATATTGCTTCTACTTTATGAACATAGGCTATTTTTTATTTCCTTCTATCATCTATTTCTTTTTATTAGTGTCCTACAATTCTCAGATGATATGTGCTTATGATGCTGTTTCATAGATGTACTCTTTTTACTGTTATAAATGGGATTTAATTTTTTTTCTAAATCATTGTTTGCATATAGAAAGGTAGCATATTAGTGTATATTCATTTTATAATGCTAATGTACCACATTAGTTTATTGCTTTTAAGAGATTTTTGGTAGATTCTTCTATGTACATATTTGAATATATGCAAAGCATAGTAGTACTGTAGCACTGTCCTCCCGTTGTTCATCGATTTGTTCAAGCAGGCACCAGTAATGTCTCCATTGTGAGACTTGTTACTTTTTTTGGCATATCGAATACACCAGGGGGAGCTTGCCAGATTCTGCCGTGTGGGCGGGATACTCTCGGTAGCTTGCCAGGCTCTCCAAGAGGGATGGATGAATTGAACCCGGGTCTGCTGCTTACAAGGCAAACACCCTACCCGTTGTACTATAACTCCAGCTATATATTCAAAGGCAGCATTAATTTTTTACATTTAAATTTATTTTAAAATTTAGTTTTAAAAATAAAGCAAATTACTTTTTTGTTGCTGCTTTGGAGCCACACCTAATTATGCTCTGAAGTTGCTACTTGCTCTCCAATCAGAAATCACTGCTGGGAGTGCTCAGATTTAAACATATATAAGCTCAAATATAAACATATATAAGCTATATAGCTAGATTTCTCTATAGTATTTGAAAGCCCAATATTTAGTAATTTTATGTATACAAAGCAGATAGTTTTAGCTTAAGGGATTTTTTCTTCCTCTTTATCATCAAGGAAGAAAATTTATTTTTCTTGTCTTCAGGAGAAAATTGTTGTTTGATATAGAGTATAGCTACCTTTATGATGCTTTAATAGTATTTTTATGCGTTTTGTGGGGACATGAAAAATATAAAGGAAACATTTTATAATATATATATATAATTATCTTTGTTTTACCTGGTGCTGTTGGTTTTCAAATTAAACTTTAATTTAAGTTCTTATAACTGATTCTTAAAAACAATTACCCATTGGGTTATGACATTGACCCAGATGAAGAGAACATACCATTTAGAAAATATTCACATTCTCATTCCTCCTAGGGATTTTTAGTTCACATCTTGCATTTTATTGACTTCATATGTTTCTTGAACAAGGTAAAGGTAAAGGTAAAGGCCCTCCCGTTGATCATCGATTTGCTCGAGCGGGCCCAGTAACGTCTCCATTGAAGACTTTGTTGTTACTGTGTTTGGCATATCGAATACATCACAGGGAGCTTGCCAGGCTCTGCCCTGCAGGCGAGATACTCTCAGTAGCTTGCTGGGCTCTCCGAGAAGGGCGGAGGAATCGAACTCGGTTCGGCCTTGTTGGCTGCGTGCAAGGCAAACGCCCTACCGCTATGCTGTCGCTCCTGCCCAGGAAATATTTTAGCTCTGTCCTGAATACCAAATAATACACAGTAGTGGTTTTTATTCAAATATACCTACTATAATGAATATTTAAACATCTAAAAGAAAAATTTCTTTAGGTAAACAAAATTGACTAATTTAAAATGTCTAAAATATTTATTTTATTATTCACTAAGTCTTACTCTTTTAAGAGCTCCATCTTTGCATGCAGCCAACATGGCCTCCAGGGTCACACCCACTGGTACTGGGGGATTATCAGTGCTGTATCTCATGGTGCTTGTTGAACCATGTGGTACCAAGAATAAAACCACAGGAAAACATTTCAACCTGTTTACATTTTCTTCTACAAATTAAAATTTATATTCAAAATTCATTATTTCTTGTGCTTGCATCTGGCATCCGTTTTCAATAATACCTTCTTATTTTTCAGAATCAAGTCTAAAACCTGAGATAATGGACCTGAAAAATTATTCCTCGGTGTCAGAATTTGTATTACAAGGACTATGTACTTCACGGCCACTCCAAAATTTTCTCTTTATATTCTTCTCTGGAATTTATGTGACTATTGTGCTAGGTAACCTCATCATTGTAGTCACTGTAATTTCTGAGCCCTGCTTGCATTCCTCCCCTATGTACTTCCTTCTGGGAAATCTATCTTTCCTAGACATCTGGTTGGCCTCATTTGCCACCCCCAAAATGATCAGAGATTTCCTAAGTGATAGAAAGCTCATCTCTTTTGGAGGATGCATGGCTCAGATCTTCTTTTTGCACTTTGTTGGTGGGGCAGAAATGGTACTTCTAGTGTCAATGGCCTATGACAGATATGTGGCCATATGCAAACCCTTGCATTATATGACCATGATGAGCCGGAAGACTTGCATTGGGTTAGTGTTGGTATCCTGGTTGATCGGATTTCTTCACTCCATCAGTCAAATTGCATTTACTGTAAATTTACCTTACTGTGGCCCCAATGAAGTGAATAGTTTCTTCTGTGATCTTCCTCTTGTGATTAAGCTTGCCTGCATGGACACCTATGTGTTGGGCATACTTATGATTTCAGACAGTGGGTTGCTTTCAATGAGTTGTTTTGTATTTCTCATGGTCTCCTATACTGTTATTCTCACCACCGTCCGACGGAATGCTTCTGGTGGGGTGTCCAAAGCACTCTCTACTTGCTCTGCACATATCATGGTAGTCACACTCTTCTTTGGACCCTGCATTTTCATTTACGTGTGGCCTTTTAGTCGTTTCTCTGTAGATAAGCTCCTTTCAGTGTTTTACACCATTTTTACTCCACTCTTGAACCCCCTTATCTACACATTGAGAAATAAGGAGATGAAAACAGCTATGAGGAAACTGAGAAACCGATGTATGACTTTTTGAGACATTCCATAAAAAGCCTGTTCTTTCTCAAGCAAGAGATCCTGTTTCTTCCATATGAACGTACTTAAAAACTTTAGTCACTTATATTAATATAATTTTATTGTGTTATAAATATATTTTACTGTGAATGATATTTTATTTAGTCATTTGTGTTTACAATTGGGAATTCAAAATTAACATCCTTGCCTGTGAGCTTCTTATAGACATCAGAAAAGGTTTCAACCTTATGTTCCACATTGTTCTGCTGTGCTTTCTCCGAATGAGCATTTATGAGCTGGCTGCCATTCAGTTTCATGTGGGTTCTTTTGACCACAATTTTACTAGGGAAGACTAAGTCCTCCAGGGTTGCATCATGCACAGCTGTCAGGGTGCGACTTCTAGGACTCTTTTGATTATATTTTCTATGGCTTTTTCAAGTTGGCTTAGGCAAAATTCTCCTCTGAGCAATAAAGACAACGTGCTTCCACTAAACTTTTTCTCCAGTTCCCGTACTAGACAGACTTGGATTTTCTGGAAAGACTTTAGTTAAGGAACAGGAATGAAGATTATAATAGCTTTTAGTCCACCACTTCGGTTTCATTGGCTGCTGTGATATTCAGCTCCCTCAGCTGCACCTTCAGGTCCAAGTTCATTTACAGCTGGAGGAGAGCCTGGGAAATGCCGGACTCGAATTCCTCTGGTTTCTAGCCATTGGGCTTCACGATCTTCGCACTCCAACTGAACATGGCTTTCTCCATGGCAAGTGCCAGACTACGAAGAGCTAATTTGTTATATTTTTTTACAGATAATAGTGGATTTCAGAAAAATTGTTTATGTTCAAACCCACATAAATATATTTTGGAATGAATCTGAGATTTTCTTTTCTTTCTTTCTTTCTTTCTTTCTTTCTTTCTTTCTTTCATCTTTATATTAGTAAGTTGTACATTAGGTGTATTGTATATTAGTACATTTCACATAGAAATCAGTTTTTAATTGTCTAAGATTAATCCAGCACACAATCAGATAATAAAAATTTAAGACATGAAACAATTATCACAGAGAATAATCTAATTTATTTAAAAGTATATTTATTCTACTTAATGTGTATTATGCATAAGCTTTTTAGTATAAAAATCGGTGCATACTAGCACTATTTACAATAAACAGAATCTGGAATAAACCCGAGTGCCTGAAAACAAATATGGTTTGAACTATGGGAACACCTACAAGGGCGATTAGAGGCCACCCCAAAAGCCTCTATCCCTCTCAGAGAGCCTGGCAAGCTACCGAGAGTATTCCGCCCATACCACAGAGCCTGGCAAGCTATCCGTTGTTTATTCAATATGCCAAAACCAGTAAATGCAAGGGGTCTCATTCTCCTGACCCTAAAGGAGTCACCAATATGGCAGCATTAAGAAGGATGAGGAAGGAGAGGATGATAAAAACTCAAGGCCGAACTAGGCTGCCAAAACGAAGAAAGACAAAAATGATTGTTTGTACTTTCAATCATGTACGCTGACATCAGATGCATCCATCTAGGACCTGATGGTATAAGCGCGAAAGATCAAGTACAACATCATTGGTCTGACTGAGACAAGAAGGCATCATCACATCACGCCGTTTTCAACACTGGAGAAGAACTGTTCATCAGAACATGTGATAAAAGAAGCATCGGTGGTGTTGGTATTCTTGTCAACATGAACTTGGCCATGAGCATTGATTCATTCGAATGCCTAACAACCTGAATCAGATGATTAAACTTGAATAGATGTGGCTCACTGCCAGCAGTTTCTATCTTCATTGTCTATGCACCAACATCCAATTATGATGAAGGAGAAATTGAGAAGTTTTACATGGAGTTGGAGAAGTTCTATAAAGAAGACCATACCATCTACAAGATCATTGTGGGTGATTTAATGCCAAGATAGGATCGAGAAGATCAGCTGAAGAACTCCAAATTGGGACCCATGGCCTAGAATGGAACAAACAGGGTGAGAGATTGTCTCAGTTCATCATGTAGATCAAGACCATCCATGGTAATTCACAGTTCCTGAAGGCTGAATCTGAATGTTGGACATGGGAGTCTCCCAGTTAACGTTTCCACAATGAAATTGACCAAATAATACTCAATCAACAATTTTGCCTGACCGATGTCACTGTTATCCCAAAATTCCAAACAGGATTGGACAATGATCTCCTGCGTGAAAAATTCTACTTCGCAGAGCAGGGATAAAGGGATGGAAAGTTTAAGAAGAGAACTCCCAGAACGACCACCAACTGGGAATTCTTTGGCACTACTGCTGCAACATGGGAAGATGCCATTGTTGAAGAGGAATTAGTTTGACTGCTTCAGCACCTCCATGATTGTGCGAGGAATGCCAAGAGAGAGATAGCCACAAAAAATTGCCTGTCTTCAAAAACTCTTGAGCTTATTCACCAACGTGTTTTGGCGCATGCCTCAGGCAACCGCAAGCAAACGTCGGAGCTCGCAAAGCAGTGCAGAGATGCGATCAAGGAAGACCTCAAAGAGAGAAGAACAGAAGCGCTGGTAGATGCGGCAGAAGCCGCGAAAAGCATCCGTAACACCTGCCTGTCCTTCGCCAACTACAAGACCAAGATGACTGCCCTCCGACGTCCTGATGGATCTATCACATCTTCCAGAATGGCAATGGAGAAGAGTATCCATGACTTCTACTCAAATCTCTTCGATAGCCATGTCCACTTGCTGACATACCAAATTCTACAGGATGGATATATCGTTCCCAATGTTCTCCTTTCCGAAATTCAACACGCCATTTCATCAGTAAAGAAACAAACAGCACCTGGCCCAGACAAGGTCAGACCTGAACACTGAAGAACCTGCCGTCAGTACTCATCAAAACGCTGGCTCGGCTCTTCACATGCTACCTGTCTGAATGCAAAGTTCTGTCCCAATGGAAAACCAGCAGGACTGTACTACTGTACAAGAAGGGAGACACCCATGACATTGGCAACTATCGCCTGATCTGCCTATTGTCTGTCGTCTACAAGTTGTTCACTAAAGTCATCTTAAATAGGATTGGAAGAACACTAGATAAACGACAACCATGAGAGCAAGCCGGGTTCTGCAAAGGATTCAGCACCATCGAACATATCCACATGATAACCAAGCTCATTGAGGTCTCTCGGGAGTTCAAGATGCTGCTCTGTCTAACGTTCATTGATTTAAAGAAGGCCTTTGATTCTGTTGAGATGGAAGCAGTCATTGAAGCTCTAGTCAATCAGGGCATTCAAACTCAATACATCAGGATCTTCCGTGAGCTGTATTACGGATTCACTATCAGGATCTCAGCATTCTACAAAGAAGTGATCATCCATGGCAAGAGAGTGGTTTGGCAAGGTGTCCCATTTCACCGAAACTCTTCAGTGCCACCCTCGAGAACGTCTTGTGATGACTGGAATGGGAAGGAATGGAAGTGAAGATAGATGGTTGGCAACTACACCACCTCTACTTTGCTGATGACATCGTTCTAATAACACCAAACTTTAGCCAAGTGGCACAAATGCTGACCGACTTTGACTGTGATTGTGGAAATAGACTCATTCCTGACCTTCCATTTACTCTCAACAGAATGAACAACTCTGAATGCAACAGTTAGGTGTACCTAGGTCGAGAAGTCAACATGACGAATGAACTGGCACCTGAGTTGTGCAGGAGGAAGAGAGAGGCTTGGAACGCCTCCAAGAGCATCAAAGAAATAGCTAAGAGGATGAAGAATCTTCAGCTCCAGTCACATCTCTTCAATTCCACTGTTCTTCCTGCATTAACATATGCTTCAGAGACCTGGGCCCTACGAAAACAGGATAAGAACTCTATTCGAGTCTCCCAAAGAGGAATCTAAAGAGCTATGCTTGGAGTATCACGTTTCACTCAAATGAGAGAAAGAATCTGGAGTTCCGACCTCCATTGATGGTCAAGAATCAGGGACACTGTCTCGTTTGCCAAGGCGTCAAAATCAGATGGGCTGGACACGTAATGAGATTTGGAGACGACCACTGGATTAGAGCCATTACCAACTGGATTCCACGGGACATAAAAAGACCACATGGCTGCCCAGATACCATATGGTCAGACTACTTCATCAAGACCTTGAAAGATCAGTTTGAGGCTCTTCGTGTTCCTAGAACGAACAGATGCCATTGGGCTACATTAGCACACAACAGGGAGAAATGGAGAAGTTACTGGCACCTGCTCGAGCAAATCCATGATTAACGGGAAGTCAATTTATCAAGTGTATTATGCATAAGCTTTTTAGTATAAAAATGGATGCATACTAGCACTATTTACAATAGCCAGAATCTGGAATAAACCCAAGTGCCTGAGAACAGATGACTGGTTAAAGAAACTTTGGCGTATCTGCACAATGGAATACTACACAGCTGTTAGAAAATATGAAAGCATGAAATATGCATATAAGTGGGTCAATGTGGAGAGTATCATGCTAAGTGAAATGAGTCAGAAAGAGTGGGACAGATGCAGATTGACTTCACCCATTTGTGGAATATAAAGTAACATAATAGGAGAATAATACCTAAGGATGGTAGATATAAGGGTCAGGAGGATCATCACACGGCTTGGAAACTGATCTCAAGTGATAGAAGGAAAGGCAGGTGGGAGGGAGAAGAGACCACTAAGTAAATGTTGGTTGGAGGGATCGCTGGTGATGGTAGATGTGTGCTGAAAGTAGACTATAGACCAAACATGATGGCTGCTTAGTGCCTATATTGCAAACCATAACACCCAAAAGGAGAGAGTAAGAGGGATCCTGTGTGTCATAGAAGCAAGAGGAGGGAATGGGTGGAGGTGGCAGGAGGGACAATGGAACATTGATGGTGGAAAAAGGACACTGGTGGAGGGATGGGTACTCGAACATTGATTGAAATATAATCTTGAAAATTTTGTAAGACTGCAACTATATCCTCTGGTTATTCACAAAAATAGAAAATAAAAATAAAAATAAATAAATAAAATAATTGGGCTA